GACGTTTTAAAATTAGAGCAGAAAGTATTAAAGAACAAGAAAAGAAAAAACACAAATATTCAACACAACAAACATCTACTTCTAACCAAGTTTATCAAAGAAATTTAAATCAATTCTCATTTAATGAAGATGACTCAATTCCTCCTGATAGTACTGAAGTTGATATTCCACAATCAACATCAGTTCTTCTTACTAATGAACATTTAGAACAACGAGTTCAAGGAGTCCAAAACATTGAACACATGTTAAATGAATTACTAGGTTTGTATAATCACATCACATTTCTTGTATCAACACAAGAAGAAATGGTTCGAAGAATTGATGAAAACACTGAAGAAGCTGTTTTTAATGTTGAACAAGGTCATTCTCAATTACAAGATGCACTTCACTCAATCTCATCAAATCGTGGATTGATCATTAAATCTCTCCTTATCATTCTTTTCTTTGCTTTAGTCTTTTTAGTCTTCTTCCTTTAACTTTATTTCTTTATTCTCTTCTTTTCTTCTCTTGTTTATGTAAAAAGTAAGAAATAATTCATGTATTAATCTTTTTATTTCTTCTTCTTTAAGTTGATTTCTTAATTTTATTTCTAATAACTTTAGTGTAAAACATTTTAGACTGTTAGAATTTCTTCTTTTCTATTTGTTTGCTTCAATTGTTTTTTGAATGTCATGATCAGATGTGGTGATCTTCTTATGCTGATTTCACATCTCTTCGATTGAATTCTGCGTTAACTTTCTTTTTTTTTGGAAGATCATCTTCGCTTGATGATATTTCATCAGCTACTACCACATTGGGGTTGAGGTCATTCACAATTTGTGTTTCAGATGACTCAGATATAGTGTGATTTATCTCTTCTTTTCTTCCTGTGTAATTTTATTTTGTAATTTAGATAATTTATCTTTCATGAAGTATATTTGTTGTGATAAATTCTTTACCTCAGACATTTTCTTTTATGGTTCAGCATTGAATTCAAATAATTTTCTATTATTCTCTTGTTTTTTGAGTGTTTATCTCATTCTCATGCTTCTTCTTTAATGACATAATGTTATTTGATAATTTATTAATGGTCTTGTCCTTCTTTTAGTATTTCTTCATTTCTTCTTTCTCTTTATTGTTTCTTCTCTCCCTTCATTCTTTTCCTTATTATTCTCTCATTCTCTTTATTATCATTTCCATAACCATTGTTAATTTATTTAAATATAATTTATTTCAATTTGATTTAGTTGTTTATCATCTTCTTCAAGTGTCATACTGATAATCTCTCCATTCTAATCATTTTTGTTTTTTCTCTTGCAAGTAAATACCATCTTCTCATTATTGTTGATTATATTCTTTAATCCTGATGTCTTAATTTCATCTACTTCTTGTTGTGTAAGTATTTTGATTCCTTCTTTAAATAGTCTTTTCCAATATTCTTGAAATTATCATTTCTTTTATTTCTTATGTATTTGTGTTGATTGTTATGATATTGTTTATACCTATGTTGTGTTTTATTATGTGATTTATTTCTATGATAGTACTGATTGTTTCTATTTGAAGTATTGATAAAATGCTTATGATGATGAAAATGAATGAAATGGTTTATACTATTATTGTAGTGGTTGTAGTGATAATTGTTATGATGACTATTGTATTTCTATCCTTACAAATAATATCTATTTTCACCCATTCTTCTATCATTTATATTTCTTGGTGATTGATTTCTCCTTTTTTTGTTATATTTCGATTTTTTTTGAAGAATTTCGTATTGCATCTTTTTATTAAAAAAAAGAAAGAAACAATAATTTGTAAATATTTTGTTATTTTCTTTAAAGAAAGAAAAAGAAGGAACTTTGAAAAGAAAAAGAATGACAGATAAAGAAAAAGACATAAAGAAAGCAAAAACAAAATTTCTTCATGACAATGCGAAAATTAGTGATAGACTTAATTCATTTGACGGTCTTAGTCGGTTATTAAGTTGCAAAGAATTTGAGCAATGGTTAAATGAGTATCAAGAAAATTTTAATAGATTTTGTGAAGATGTAGATAGGATGTTAGGGGGAATGTTAAAAAATTCAAAAACTATTGACGAAGGGACAGTGAATAAAATTCTTGGTGTTATCAATTGGGGATTAATTTTAAATGAAAAAACAAAAATATCAGACAAGAAAAATTGTCAACAATTTATTAAAGATTGCTTATGTATTGAAACAGAAAAAAGTATTAGAGAAGAGACTTTTAAAATTATATTAAAATGGATTAAATTAAAAGGATCAATTAATCAAGAGGAAGTTGAAATACTTATTGGAGCATTAAATATTAATAGTTTCATTGAAACTACAATAACTCTTAGTGTATCTAAACCATTAGCAATTGGAATATCACCAAATTCTACTCCATTAAATAATGGTCCTATATTACCAACAGGACCAACATTAATGTATGAAACACAACATTTTCTTATTTCTAATAATTCGATAACAAATAAAACAATAGAATCATTAAATTTAATAAAATATATAATGAAAGAAGTAATTAATGAAAAAGGAAAACGAGGGAAAGGA